ACTAAACTTTTAAACAAATTAAGCTTTCCCTGGGAGAATCTGTAGCATGCTCACTGAGAAAGGGCCAGAGCATGCTGACTCTTGTCCAAACCCTTAACAAGAGGTGAATCTTGAGGATTTGCTTTTGGAGTTGCTGAACTTCTGGTATATAGAAACTTTAATATCAGGAAATGATAATTGTTCTTAATAAAAAGTAACATGAATACATAAAATGGGAAAGGAAAAGAGAACTTAAATCCTTGTGAGAACAGATGAGTAAATGCTACTGAACTTAAGTGTGTGGTACTTAAGTTCAGTAACCAGCAGTTTCTTCCTCTGGTTTCCAAAGTATTTGTTGAGGCCCATGTCTGTGGAAAGGTGTCAATTAACACCTGTCCACTTTAGAACATAGGTTATCAGCTGGTGCCAAGCCTTGTGCTCACCTTCCATGGTCCACTGAGCTGATGGTATCCTTCTTCTGTGCTCCAGAGAGGTAAAAGCACCTTGTCACTACATCAGTAGCTGCAGTACCACCATCTCCTCTACCTGCGCTTTTAATGACTTGGCTATTTTTATCTATTTTATGTTTGTACTTATGGAGTCCAGTGTATATCAGGGAAGCCATTTATAAGGCTCCAGAAGGAATTAATGGAACCCAGATTGTTTATCTTTCTGTTAGTGGAATCTGTAAAGCTGAAAAGAAGGATTCTGAGATAAGATGGGTTTAACTGGGAGCCTGTAGAAGCAAACCTACCAACTTGTCTATCTCTATGTTAGCATTGAGGAAGAAAGTGAAGAAAACCTGTAGTCCCAAGCAATCTTGCACTGGCAGGCTACAGAACCAGCAGGTTGCTATCTTTTCTGCCATGACATTAAGAAATGCTCCCAAGGTATGAAGGAGGGGGTTAGTTGTTCCATCGCTCTTTGTAAGAAACAGATTCTTAAGGATAGTCCAGCTGGTGATGGATGTTCACAGCACACTTTGTCCTTCCCCAAGATAGGCTAACTGTGCGGCATGCATGGCAAAAACAGTGCTCATTTTCAATAGTTATATGACTTGTCTGGTAATTGTTATAATGTTCATGGAGATCCCAGAAAAAGAATGGATACACACTACACACTTCAACTCTTTTTTTTTTTTTGCTTTTCTTTTTAAAAATTTATTTATTGTTTTATTAATTACAGTTTATTCACTTTGTATCCCAGCTGTAGCCCCCTCCCTCATCCCATCCCAATCCCTCCCTCCATCCCTCATCTCCTCCCATGCCCCTCCCCAAGTCCACTGATAGGGGAGGTCCTCCTCCCCTTCCCTCTAATTCTAGTCTATCAGGTCTCATCAGGACTGGCTGCATTGTCTTCTTCTGTGGCCTAAAAAGGCTGCACCCTACTCAGGGGGAGGTGATCAAAGAGCCAGCTACTGAGTTCATGTCAGAGACAGCCCCTGTTCCCATTACACACGCCAGCTTTAAAATGCCATACGATGCATGTGGGCTTCCCATTTCAGACTTAAACATGAAAGTATTTAAGACTCCCTATAATGCTGGAAGGCTCTGAGACATTCTCTGTCTCCCCTTCCCCCCTACACACACACACACACACACACACACACACACACACACACACACACAGATTGTCTTTTGGGTTTATGTTTTATATTTTTGTTTTTGAGACAAGGTCTTGCTCTATATAGCTCCAGCTGGGCCTCAGATTCACAGAGATCCACCTGCCTCTGCTTCTGGAGTTTAAAGAAGTATAACAAAAGACCCTGCGCTTTGTGTTATTTTGTTTTAAAAACTCTAGACTGTAACCTTAGGGCACAGCAATGAGATGATGACAGAAAAACACAGCTGTATGCCTAACAGGAAGGATATAATGATGAGCAATATGGTAATCATTAGCCCTCTTGAGAAAGATGCTATTATTTCCACCTTGAAAACAAATACAACATCTACTCCTGATTTAAATGTGTCATTTCTTTTGAGAAATTTCATTCTTTGCTTTCTAGTTCATCTTTAAAATTTGAGACTTAATCATTCTCAAATTAAATACTTCAACAGCAGAATATTCTGTGCTTCAGAAAATGATAGAAATTCAGTGTTTACCAAACATTTTAATCATATGTCCTGAGAAATTAGAAGATGTCCACAAATACAGAAATTAAGAAAATGATCTGATACCCAATAAACATAAGCAGAAATTCCAGCACATTTGCTGAGCACACGGCTGGATGTGCTTTACAGTTCTTTGACTGGAGAGTGGGAAGGACAGGAGTCAGACTCAAGTCAGACACAATATTAACATGGTTCTTGTCTCCTGACTACCTTAAAATCAGCTATGAAAAATTAAGCTTTCGATTTTATTTGGAGAAAAATATATGATAAAATAAAAGCAGGAGATGAAGAACAAAAGGGAAAAAAAAAGAAAAAAGAAAAAGAAAGAAAGAAAGAGGGCAATATCCTAAATACATGAATAGTGTTTACTTTGTTTTAAAGTAACATGCAGTGATTGTGTGCAGTTGTGACTATCATGCATTTAAGTAGTGACGTGGGAGGGTTCCAAAGACGTGCTGTTGGTTGACCAAAGCTGCCATAATAAGCTGCTATGAATTAAATGCTTAGACATAAGAAATTTATTCCCTGTGCATCAAGACGTGAGTAGGTTTGGTTTCTCCCAAACAATTCCTTGGCGTATAGCCCAGCTGAACCCAGACTCTAGCTCCTGCCTCTACCTCTCAAACACTGAGCCACCATGCCCAGTGCCAATGTCTCTCTGATGCATCTCCTCACATCACTGTTCAAAGGCACTATTTCTAAGTAAGATCACACTCTAAGGTATGGGGCCTAGGGCTTCAAAGCATTGATTTGGAGGAAGGAGTATAATGTAGCCTCAGATGCCTTTATTCAAAAAGCATTTTGTGCTTGCTGACAAAGCTATTAAAAAACATGTTCTCACTCCTACAGCATGAGCCCGGGAGGTCAGCAATGCCTTTTCACTCACAGAATTATCTATCAATTCACTTGACTCAGTTCTTCACCTAAACAGTCCCCAAAGGTGATTCTCCTAATAGCTTATTGGCTACTTCCCAAAGCATCAAAGACGAGGCTGCATTTTTCTACAGTCAAACAAGGGATGCAATAATTGTAACCATGTGCTCATGGAAGAGCTGTCCATGACTGCTTCTCTATTTATGAATAGCCAGGAGCAGACCCAGGCATCACGCTTCCATGTTTTTATGAGAAGAACTCACAGCTCCAAGCCTGCATGTGCTTAAGGCAATGGTTCTCCACCTTGCTAATGCTGTGACCCTTTCACATGGTTCCTCATGCTGTGGTGACCCCCCACCACCATAAAACTGTTTCATTGCTACTTCATAGCTGTAAGTTTGCTACCGTTGTGATTGTAATGTAAATATCTGATATGCGGGGTGTCTGATGGGTGATCCCAAAAGAGTCATGACTCAGAAGTTGAGAACCACTATGCTTCTTGTTGCCTCAGATGGTTTCACCCTGGACTGTGTCACAAAGAACACAGGCGTTTGCTTGGTACCAGCATTCTCAGATCATACCGTCATACAGAGAGCTGCCATCCCCACCTGCTGCTAAACAAAGATCCTAAAACAAATTCTGGGTCATGTTGGAGAAAGTAAACACAATGTTCAAGGAGGCATTCCTTTTAAAAGTCATCATCATCAAAACATGAACATGTATTTTCTATCACATTCACTATCATAATTTGAAAACACCTGAATGAGGGTTATTTTACTTAATGTAGATTAGGTTTACACTACTGTCACATCATCTGTTAATGAAAGCTGTCTTAGATTACTAGGATCAGTATATGGTCTTTTTGTTTTGTTTTGTTTTGTTTTTTGTTGTTTTGGTTTTCTGAGACAGGGTTTCTCTGTGTAGCCTTTGCTGTCCTGGACTCACTTTGTAGACCAGGCTGGCCTCAAACTCACAGAGACCTTCCTGGACTTTTAATTATCAAGTCTCCTACATTTCTTCATGTGTTCAAATGTGACTTAACTGGAGAACTGTGATCTACATACATATATTATGTAATTACATGGTGATATAAAATCAGTAGAAATCCATGCATGCATTCCCTCCGCTAATATAAATTTACCCATCTAAGTGATGGAGATGATAGCAGACACTAGAAAGACAAATGCAAGAAGGGCTCACAGTCAACTGGGCAAGAGAGAACACCAAAAAGTCAACAGCTTTGAAAGTTGAATATACAGTCAAATCACAAGGAGGGTTTATGCAAGCCCAGATTTATTGTCACATCCAGTGAGACTGAGATTTTGCATTTCTAGTAAGTTCCCCAGTGCTGTTGATTGGGGAACACAATGAGAACAGTTCGTCCAGAGTTTTAAGTATGTGGAGCCGTGGAAGCTCTGAAGAGGAGTGAGAAGCATTTCAAAGAATGAGTGGAGAAGGAGAAGGAAGGAGGGGTATAAATATAGGGAACACTTTTAGCTCTAAAGCCAGGGAAGGTGCAGATAAAATATTATTTCACTAAGACAAAGTTTGAAATCCTTTAACTAAAGGAGGTGAATCTGGAGTGGTTCTAAAGGCCCATTGCTGCCCTTGGGATCTTGGCTGCATACCATCCTGTAGGAGTCACATAGCCTCCAATTAGACTTTAAGCTGAAGGAGAAGAACCCTGAGAGAACGCTGTCCAAACTTGTGGAGATTCTTCTCTCTCAGCTTTGCAACTTTTAGCAAGAAATTCTGTTCATCACTCTGATGATGAATCCCACTGGGAGGTGATATGGGCAGCATGCAGGAAGGGGGTACTGACTGCCTGGGAGTTTTTTGCCCCTGACCACTGAGCCACAGCAGGGTGGTCCCTGAGAACCAAGCCAAACAATTGGCTCACAATGATTGACTTTTAGAAAACCCAAAGCTTCATTGGACCCTCAGAGAAATGTGACAGTGGCTTCCGGGGAAGATATGGGGAATGGAAGAAGATCCTGCTAGCTGGGTCCTAACGAAATGTGCCTTGTTCTTTCCTAGGGGAAGATGACGATGAAGATGAGTGTGGCGAAGAGAGGCTGCCCTCCTGTTTTGATTATGTGATGCACTTTCTCACGGTGTTCTGGAAGGTTCTGTTTGCCTTTGTCCCACCTACAGAATACTGGAATGGCTGGGCCTGCTTCATTGTCTCCATCCTCATGATTGGCCTGCTAACAGCCTTCATCGGAGACCTGGCTTCCCACTTTGGCTGCACCATTGGCCTGAAAGATTCCGTGACAGCAGTTGTGTTTGTTGCTCTTGGAACCTCAGTACCAGGTAAAGGTTGATTCATGGGTGCTCCTTCAAAACAAAAAAAGTACACACACACACACATACACAAATAACCACTGAGTTTTATTTTGTGTTGGCCAGTTACTCCTGGGCATAAGGCATGCCCTGGTGTGTAGATCATATGCCTAGTGATATTCCATTGGAAAACAAAACAAAACAAAATTGATTTCTCCTTTCCTAGCAGGTATCAATTGCAAATAGCTTCTTGGTTAGGGGTGGGATTTGTGCCATCTTCCCCTTTCGGTGCTGGGAATTTTCTGGTTTGAACCTGTGCATGTCTTAGGAGTGCTGTCACAGTCTTTCTGAGTTCACACCGTATCAACACTGTTCTGCCTGGAAGACTCTATTTCCCTGGAGTCATGTACCCCCTTGGCTCTTATAATCCTTCTACCTCCTCTTCTACATAGATCACTAAGGAAAGGATGGATTTGATAAAGACGCCCATTCAGTGATGAGTGGGCCAACATCTCTCACTCACTACATAGTGTCTAGTTGTAGGTCTTCGTTAATTACCATCTAATAAAATAATGTGCTTTTTTTTTTTTTTTTTTTTTTTTTAGTTTCCTTAAAAAACTTGTTTTGAGAAATTCCAGTCCTCTCCTCTCACAGGACAGGACTTGCCCCCTTTTCAAATTCCCCAAGACCTGGAGCTTGATACTGCTGCCTTGATCATGGCCTGGCTCACATAGCAGACTAACTTTAACCATCCAACTCTCAAGAGTTCTGAGACAAGCCACCACCCAAGAGAAAGTGGGGGTTGTAGTGCCTCTGGTTCACCTGTAGCTTTGATAAATTTCAACCCCACCTCATACCATAACTATTGATTTCTTACTAGGTGAATCTAACACAACCACTAGTTGTTGTAATGGCTTTTTTACTCTGCCAAAAAAAAAAAAATGGGTCATAGCTTTCTTTGCTGTAATAGGGGAAATTGTCTGTGCTTTATTACAATATTAACTGTCTACCATGCTCCTAAGTAAGATATTCCCTAAGTAAGATATATGTATTATGTATGTATGTATGTGTGTATATAATCACATCAATCCCAAAATCTATGCAAATTAAAGATGCTAAAGGAATATATAACGTGGCCTTATCATATTGATTTAAAAAGAAAAGGGAAATAATGCTATTGTTTCTGGGACACAACACTTGGTTGTTACAAGTGGACAAAATAAGACTAAAAGAAAAACTGATGCTCTTTCCTTCAGCTTGCTCTTGGTCAGTACTGGCCCTAGGACCCAGGGGGTGTCTTGACGCCTCTAAAGTAGAAAGGCTTCTGTCTACTGTCTGATGAACTGCATTCTGTTCCTACCAGAGACTCTCAGACTCTGTGATGGCCAGATAGGAATTGAAATCCTCCTCATGCTGTTCTTCCTGCCTTGGGGCAGGATTAAATGTATTGTTTAAAAAATCTATGAAGAAAAGTTTGTGGCTTTGTGGGTGAGACGGCTCATCATACCAGCAGGTGCCAAGAGCTCATTAAAATGTGCTGGCGGGGAAGGGGGAGCGACACATAAGAGTCTTTACTCTTTCTAGCGTTTAAAAGCTACACCTGTCAGTAGAGCAAGGCCTGCTTTTCTAAGTTGCCATTCTGTGTGCTTCTAGAACACTCTCTGCTAACCTTGAACTGATGGTGTTAGCCCCAGCTTGGTCTCCAGCCCTCTCCCTTCTTTTCCCACCATTCCCTGGGAACAGTCTTCATGGCATGAATCCCATTAGTATACCAGTGCTTGCCAGAGGAACAACATCATCCCCTGCTTTCCACTGAGCTGCAGTGACATAGTGGTCACCTTCCCAGCACCCATGTCCAATGTGTGATTTGAAGCTCCACATTGCCATGTCCAAACAGAGGTGGCAATGTCAGCAGCTCAATGACTTCAGTTCTTCAGCCAAACCTGTTCTCTCCAGACTCGACCTTTTCAGAAAAACAGTATCATTGTAACCCAGGAGCCCTTGATTCCTATTTTTCCTTCACCTTCAACTTCTGTATGCCTTCCATCTAAGGTATAATTAATGGATCCACAGAACTGCCCCCTCCTTCCTGTCTCACAACTATGCTTTATGCGGTCGGTCCCTAGAAGCATCCTCCTACCTGTCTCTCTGCTTCCATGGGAATCTTTCAAAGAAGCAATTCATACCAAAGTGTTGCTTATGGTCTCCAGATGGCTCCTTTTCTCTTAGGATAAATCTCAAAAGCATGAGTCTTCCTGCAGACTTAGGTCATCTGGCCATTCCCTGATACCCCCTTCTGTCCTCTTGCCCTGTTCTTTGGGCTTACCACCCTGTCTGTTCTCCACAGCTGAGTCCATTGCTTTTTCAGGGGTTCACTGGCTGTATAAAGAAAATGTTCTTCCTATCATGTGCATAAGACTGTTTCTTTATCTACAGTTGTTTTTAACCTCCAAATGTCAAGTATACCACCCAATATTTTGTATTATCAAAGTCTCTATTCTGCACAGTTTTTATTACTTCATGAAGCTTGAATGCTTTTTTTTCCCATTTTCATTGCATTTTTACATATTCTCCCTTTTCTCTAGTGTGTGAGCATATGTGTGGACATGTTGCAGAACTCTGTTTACTCCTTTCCAAGGTTCAACCTTAGGTCATCACTCTTGGTGTAATCACGTTTACCTACTAAGACATCTTACTGGCATCTTGATTTTGTTTTTGAATAGTATTTTTTATCTAACTTCCCCCACTGAAATGTTAGCTTCACACAATCAAAAAAAAAAAAAAAACCTATCTACTTCCATCGTGCTTTTATCTATGTGTGTTTTAGTGTCACACCACAGACAGACAGACAGACACACACACACATATAATATCATGTCATATCATATGTATATTTGAGAATGCACAAACTAGTCATTTACTCACTGGCACAAATTGACTCAGATTCTTCCTAACACTGTCTAGAGGCTGTTTAAACATTTGTGATTATTAAAGAAGATATTTTTATAGTGTGGCTGGTTTCTAAAGAATGGTATATAACTGAGAAGGTCATTGATTTAAGAAAAGGGCAAAAGGAAGTCGAAGGGCACAGAGGCTCTCAAAAGAGACATGCTTTTCCTCATTCATACTTTTGTGTATCATGGGAACTGTGTTGAGCAACAAGACAAATCTTTGCCTCTCCTTTTCTTTTTTCTCCTACGATTCCTGCTCCTAAGACCCAGAACTCAGAGCAGCACTTTAAATTTTTCAGTTATTGTGTTGTCTCCCCAAGTCCAAAACTATATCACACTCTGTTGTGTCTATGGAAAAGGAAGCTCAAGATTCAAGGAGAAAGCATGAGGATATAAACCCTTGGAACCAGCCTTTTAAAAATGAGAGGCCTCCTCTGACTGGACATTTATTGTAGCTCACAGTAATTTACTTAGATAAATCCTGTCTGTAGGGACAAGGCATTCTGCTTCTTCTGCTTCGAATGCTGGATTCTAGATACAGGCTTTCCTATATCTGGAATCTTGTTTACACTGGACACAGATAGAAGAAAGCATTCTTCTGCAGATACAAGGAGAGCTCTTAGGGATGAGTAGTATTTATCTCCAACCCCCAAACTCTGGCCTTGATCTCTTTCCACTGTCTCAATGGTATGTGCCTGAGGCCTGTCCACTGCCCCTTCCAATTCCCTTTGCCATCTGCTCACTACAGGACAGAAAATTTAAAACGTGAATACTCTAGACTGTCTTTTGGCCCCAGGCACTGTAAGATTTTCTGTTCCCTTTAGTGTTTCTGACTATCCCTTTATCCTTTGAAATATGTCATGTAGGAATTATTTCCTTCAGGGGGTTTAAAGACATGAAAGGAAACACTATTCTAGATGTTTTTGAAACCCCCCCCCCGTATGTATGTAGAAAATTCACAAACAAAAGCTCTTATTTTGGTGAAGCTTATATCATTTTTTAATTATAGCACTCCCCAGACTTTTAAATACCACAGAAGAACTTGAGGTAAAACTGGCTCTGTTGAATCTGTTGACTGTGGACTGTGTTCCCTTTTCTGCAGAGCTGATGTGCACCCAGGAGTATAGAGTTCATGTCTCTGGATGTCTGTTCCCCACAGTGTGGGTCTCAGTGACAGCTTTACTCTCTATGCCCATACTCCTGCCTGAAAAACGGGCATTAATACTATATGGCAGTTAGAACAGAATTGATTAGAGGATTAAACAATATGTTCTGAGCCCTAATGTAAGATGCAGGAATTAATTGTCTCAGAGTTTACACTAAGATCAATCATTTCTGAACAATGCCAAAAGGATTGGAGCTCATCAGGAAATGATGGTGAGTGGGGAAAAGGTTATGAGCAAGAGAGGAAAGTTTGCAGGCGACTGTAAAGGTCCAGTGTGTGATAGGTGCGTGCACGATATTCACACTGCCTCTTATTCCTGTTTTAAGTGATACGGTGTTGCTTCCTTGCAAGCTCTGCTTGTGCATTTTGCCCCTTAGATCCTGCTCCTAAGAGTGAGATTGTTCATCTTGTTTTCCCCTGTGCTAAAAATACAGGCTATTTTTGTGTTATTTTTATAACAAAAATTACTTGTTATTAATGGCTTATGTTTCATTCTTTCATTTCCTAGCTTCTAATAGCTCTCAGAGATAACATATTCTATATTACGTTTAAGTAGGAAGTGTTTTACAGTTTCCACAGTGTGTTGCTTTATTTCTCAGTGGGTCTTCAAAACTGGCTGGCGCATAGCAGAAGCCACACTGCTATCTCAATGTCACCCCTGGAAACGTATGAGGTGCCACATGTACGGATGGAGACAGAGGTGGCTAACTCCACAGCTTGCAAGAAAGTGAACACTAAGATTTTCATGTTTCACCAAATTAAGAGAATAACTTATTTATCTGCACTTAGTTTAAGTTCAGATGGATGGGATCTTTGGAGTTTATAATACAGTTCTTACTAGCCATCCTGCTATGCCAGTTTAAATGTATATTTAAAAGTATTATATGTACACTTTCCCATATGCCTTACAGTTT